AACATCCCACTAAAATTTAAAACATTTAGTGTTCACCATTTCAAGCGTTAAAGAAGTTAAAATTTATAAAGGTATCTTTCCTACCGCTTAAAAGTCTAGAAACCCCTACTAAATACTTCTGTAAAGTGGGAGAATAAAGTCTAAACTGTTTTATCCAACAACCACACAGTTTCAACTCTATGTTAACTATAATCACAGCACGTAGCCAATACGCCCCTCCTACCATGAAGTGTTCATTATTGAAAATTGATCAACATCGACGCAGGCAGCATAAATAACGGGATAAGCCTAACGTCGCCCATGATGAGATAATCTCTATTATTTTATCGCGGATTTAAGCGGCTAGTGCATCCTGTAATTCAAATTAAACTGTCAAACGTTGCACTATGAAACCCGCAATTGTTAACTGTTTGATTTATAAATGGCCGAATAAGCTGAAAGCTTAACAACGTGGAGTTAATTTTATTATTTAAATCATCACGAGTGCTTATTATCGTTTGATTGCGAAAGGGTGTTTGTGTTTTTACTATTTCTATTAAGCTTGGGCCTGTCAATAATTATTGTTGATGGGTTTGATGGGACATTATATCGAGGATTTTAATCGAAACTTAATTGAACGATTTCATTATCGTCAGGTTATTTGATTTGATTAGGAAGATTGTTGAAGGTTAAAATGCACTTTAACCCACAAGTGTGTTCTGGCGGTAAAAAATACAATTCATATTTTCAAAGATTATAACGGTCCGTGCAATAGTGCTAATCAGGAAAACCAGAGAGATTTGATAGAACCATAGACTATACTACAGTCAATGGTAGAACTCGACTTAAAATCTGGTCACTGGTTAGGTCCTAAGCGAGATTTACTGTGTTCAGATATCATTCATCATTGAGTGATGAATTAACGATGCTACGTAGACTATGTAGATGGTAAAAAGACTTGGGTTTAAACCGTCCCCTAATAAAGTAAAAAGTCGGTGGCAAGAACCCACAAACTGAAAGAAAAATATGCAAGTATACCCGACAAAACCACAGGGGCAGTGACTCAACCTTAACGTTTCAACACTTTGTGCTACTATTTAACCACAGTTTGCTTGCAAGAACATTTCCTTACTAACACAAACATGATAGCTAGTGTATGTACTACAGATACCTATTATTGTGGCTTATCAATTTCAACAACAACATGCAGACTCAGCCTTGAGTTAGCCTACAATCACTCGTGTGGCAGCAAATCACCCACATTAATGAAGCTTAGACAACTTTCCGTAAATTATCCTACTTTTTCACAAGGAAAGCAGACTTTGTGATAATGTAAAGTTAAAGGCCATTGCTTGTCGATTAAGGCATTTAAAAATTGACAGGTTTAACTTAACCCTAATTGACGAGTCGTCGTTGACCTGTTAGCTATTGACGCAAACTTCTCCGCTTTCATTAAATTTTCACCCCAGAAATTCCCGGCAATTCTGCTCCTCCCGCGCTCATTTCGGCGGGAAGAATTTTAACGCTTTATTATAGTCGTATTGGCCAACTTTATCGCTCCTTTGTGTTAACAGATTGTTAAATTTGATATTAGGGCAAGTTGTGAGAGGTTTGATGTACTTTTAACGTTTCAGTGAGATTATGTAACAATTAATTAAGCAAAATGTTTTTGGTTGTTGAAATATTCAGGATTTATTTGTGAAATATATGGTAAGCATTGCTCCGGACTATTATTTTATAAGGTAGTTAATAATTCACGTTATATGAATAGTAAATAATCTCACCACAAACAAAAAACTTCTCTTTACTATTTGAGGAAATCTAATATTTTACATTAGATTTAGTTTAACGCTTGAGGTTTATTGAAATAATGAAAACATAAAAATTAAGTCCCATTGCATGCTGTTAAAAAGTAAAGTCAAATTTATTTGTCATGCAATAATAATTTATTAAATAGATAATTTTTTGCAGCGTTCGATAGTACCAATTAACAATTTTAAAACATGCAAATTTATTGCTCTAGTGCTAAAATGACACCTTAAAATATTTAACAATTGAAACTTAAGCGTTACCAACTGTGATTACATGTCGCATGTTAATATTAATATGGAGGGAAGCTAGAAATTTGCACTTTTATTGATGAGGTATTTTTACAGAATAGCCTACTTATTATTTTTTTAAGTTTTCATTACATTCACTTTGACATTGACTGTTAACACTACATTACGCATATTATGTGTGACCTATTAAAAAGTGTGAACTTTCTCTACGCTTTTTGCGAAATAAGATATTAAATTTGACAAAATTGTTATTCATGAATGGAAAGAAGCCTCTACATGGTATTTTTAACGGCCAAAGTTGAAAGGATTTTAAACACTTTGTTTCATGCATATTGAATAAATCCATTGACTTTGATGTTTTATCTTTGATTAAACACTTTGCAGCTAAGATTTTCCACATCAACAATATAACAGTGACATCCAACAGACCACGTGTGGAAACCATGTGTGTTGCGAAAATTGGCAAAATACCAGTCAGGCCTTCTGTATGCCTAAATCTCCGTGTAGGCCAAGTATGGCTTCACATACGTACAGTACAACACTATGTAGGTATTTAGAATAAAGGACGTTGTAAATTGGTTGTTTCTAAAATTTCATAGATATTCAAAATCAGCCAAAAACATCGGTTTGTCAATTATTTCCCTCAACGACGGCCCGACTCTAAACCCAACTTGACTTGACTCTCGAGTTTTTGGGAGGTTTCCTCTGGTATTATTTACGAAATAAATGTACCCAACATTGCCTCAACACAAGAAGAACCATTTTTTTTAACTACACTCAAACGTATGCAATACATGAACACACATAAAACAGGTAAACTTTTACCCCAAGAGAAATATTTTCCATCTTAATCTCAAAATGATTCGTATTAGTATACTTGCAAATGACCAATGCAAACATTACTTTTTTTTTGTTTTAAAATTTACGCTATAAATACGTATACAAGAAACCGTCCCAACTTCAAATCTCACCGTAAATATCAACTCAAATGTGGCATTGAATAAATCAAAACGTGCAAAGATTTATCAAAATCAAAGTACACTCAACTGTATGGGTGGTGAAGGGGGGGGGGGGAGCATGTTGTATCCCGTAGCAACATCTCTGCCAAACTTTCCCTGACCGATGCAAATTTTAACTGCAGGTGTGTGTCGACCGCGATATTAATTATTTAGGATTAATGATCGCGGCGACACCGGCGCTGTCGATCCTATCAGGCAGATTGGCTTTGCGCGGACGTCCGTATTTGTTATTTCGGACCAAATCCGGCCGGCGGGATTATCGTGTTTAATTTCGATTCACAATCATTTAGACGGTAAGCCCTGGTAAACGAACTCTTCACCGCGACACGAATATTTGGTGGAAACGTTTGTCGCGATTATTCTGTTCGCCATTTTGATATCGGATTTATTCGTGGCGTTCATCCGGGCAAACACCAGAATGTCATCGAAATATTGTCACTACACTGACGGAATGTGTGGAGTATTTTCGAATTTGTTTTGCCAACATTTAGCTGTCATTCGTGTTTGTATTGTCCCGCTGTTTTATCTCCATGATGAGTTAAAGCGTTGTAATTTGGCGATTGTGGCGGTATGATTTATTAAAACTTTGTAATTACTAAATCGAGGGATGTTTAATTGATTCGTTAATCACGCTGAGCTGTTTTAAAAATAAATTTGACACAATCATTGGGTTTAACTTAATTGAAATGTAAAGAGTCTAGACACTTATGTCTTGCAACTAAATTAGTACTGATAACTATGATATTTTACTATTATTTTTCAAAATTGTATTCTCATATTACTTTATGGCTATGCGTGTGTCACCTTGTGAAATTCCGTATAATAGTTACCAATAGGACAAAGGATGCCAACATTTGAAAAACCATTTCAGCAACACTCACTGTACCATAATACCGATATAAAATGCTACACGAAACGTTTAACAAAACTTCACTGAAACGCGATAACAATATTAAACACTTCATTCGATCCGACTCGCCGGAATTGAGACTGTCAAATCCGAAATCAATTCGACAGTATTACTCGAACAAAATTTATTTTCAGCGAATCCGTGTCAAATCAAATTAAAAGTTATACAAAGCATGACGAGCCGATACGATCAGGAATGTTGAAGAAAGGAAAGAATTTAATTCGAATCGAGTGAAGTCAGCAGCGATGAGCGCAGGGGGGGATTAACGTATTTCAAGCTAGGGTACCCAAGCAATAATGGCGGATTCGGCGAGGGGTGCGAAGGGCGATTCATTTTTTCCTCATATTATGCGCGAAGGGTGCGCGTTATTATCCTCAATAACGTAATCAAATCGGATTGGAGTTGCAGGAATATGATCTGCTGAACCAATCATCGGATCATGCGACTTGTGACTATTTCATCGTGAAATAAATTAACACTGCATGTGATCATTTCGCGCCGTATTCAGACTCGGTGGTACAGTCACCTTTTATCCGTTGCTTGGTTGCATTACTTTATATCACAACATTTCTTTCAACATTATCCAAAGGCGTAACATTTTAAACGTTTACAACAATCAAAATCAGTAAATACTCTAAAACGTTGTTACATTCCATAATCAACATAACTTCAGCGCGATTTAGGGTTGATGGGTTGAGAAACTCGAACTAAATTTTCTGGAACATGATAAAACCAATACAACCGATAAAAAATGACTAGGCCTTTATTATTTATCTATCAAAGTAACTCGTCAATGTATCCTTATCAGGTTTGGTAAATCGTCAAGGTTTAGAGCGTCCAACTACTGTACAGTGTACGCATTCGTTAATTGTCTAACAAAAAAAGAAAAATGAACAGTAACAAAACAAATTAAAGTGAAACCATCCATATAAGTGCGTTTTCTAAGCCTGAATTGCTAGTTCCTTGCTATTCTGTAACTGTAAGTAAAATAGCTTTTGTGATTACTGGACTCAAAATATCTTTTGCTTCCAGCTACGGCATGGACCTGAACGGCGCACGGCGAAAGAACGCGACACGAGAGACGACCTCTACGCTGAAGGCGTGGCTGAACGAGCACAAGAAGAACCCTTACCCGACCAAAGGCGAGAAGATCATGTTGGCGATCATCACCAAGATGACGCTGACGCAGGTGTCGACGTGGTTCGCCAACGCGCGACGGAGACTGAAGAAGGAGAACAAGATGACGTGGGAGCCTAGAAACAGGGTGGAAGACGAAGACAACAACAACGACGAAGTACCTGGAGGAAGAAAGAGCGCCGACAACAAGGATAACCTAGGTAAGCTTAGAAATCTTATGTGTTATGGTGTTTTTAGTTTTTGCGATTATGGAAAGGATGGGCGATATCATACAACTTACCTTATCCGGTGGGTCACAGGCAACGTTTTATAAGCATTTAGCATTCGTAGTTAGAGAGCTGATAGCAGTTTTCACTGAAGTCATTGGTTTGCTCATACGACTTATAAATTGTTACAAAATAGTGATCGAAACTGAGGGATCGACGCTCAAACTAATAAGAGTTACAATGGTGACGGGCAGATTGAGTTTTAAAATTAAAATAAATGAAAGAAAAATGTAGAGAACTATAGTAACATTAGAAGATATCAAGAGGAATCATAGTATAGCATAACTAAAAAACTGTCTTTGATTTATATTAACCACAGTATATTATCACAGAATACGTTTCACAATTTTCGGAGTAATCTGAGACATGAATTTCAAAACATAAAATCTGGCATAAAGATGGACTCTAAACTACTTTAAATTTGAAGAAGACAGGTTCAATCCTGTGACCATTTGATGATTAGGTGACTACTACAACCACACAGCAACCCACCAAATGCATTGTGAAAAATTAAGTCAGCAATCTATTAATTTCTAGTCAGAAAAAACTCTATTTCGTAAAATGAATTAATTCGCAAACATGTGTGTTGCACGGACACAATTCAATTACATTAAAAACCACCCTTTCAGCAGTGGGAATTTACGATTTTCACCCAAACGAAGAGTGACAGCAGATAATGAGATAAGTGTTGTCCCTGATCGCCTGGACTAGATCCATCGGACATTCCGTATCAGTTCCATTTGCTCGACCAATCGAATATTCAACGATTTCAATTAAATATGCTGTTTTGACAAGAGTACCACGAGTTTCGCTGTTAGATATTTTTATTTCGTATAAAATTTTGATTAATTCAATCAAAGTATTTAAAAATCATATCGTCTGGAATAGTTTTATCTGCGATCATTCAACGATTTCATTTAAATCCGTCGTATTGACAAGAGTATCATGATTTTGAGTGGTTGTTATTTGATTTGATGAACATTTTTGTATTATAATTCAATCAAAGTATTTTTTAATTAAACTTTAACTTATTTTAAAATATCTATTTTAGTTAGATATGTTGTTTTGACAAGAATATAGAAATTTTCAGTAGATGTTTTTTCCCGATATTCATTGGTGTATAATTTAATCGCATACTTTTTGAATAATTTGCACTAAATGTTTAAATTAACCCCAATTCAAATGCATGTCTGAAAAAAAAAACAACATGTTTGCACACGTCCAGTCCACCGCAGGAATGTTTATCTGCACTAAAAGATCGTGGCTTTCTTTACACAATAATTGTATAAAACCGGAGTAATAATAATTAGTATATAAAGACCACATCATATAAATCACAAATCAACCTTTACCTCAAAATACTTCACAGTAGATTCAAAAACCTCAGAATTTCACAACACCTGTATTAGAAACAACTAAAGTATACATCATTGTAATTGGAAACTCGTATTTCTTGCATTACCAAGGTAAAACGTTGTTCCTATTTCTACCATTTTCATTATGTTTTTATGAATCACAATAGATACAATAAAGGTTACGTTACAACTTCTAAGTCGGGAAAAGGTTTTGTGACCTTTATTTATCTTATTTTGTTTATTCTGAATATTTTCAAACCAATATAAGGGTAGCTGAATGTACTTTATAAGTGGTGACACCTGGTACAGTAATTTAAAATGTAACCGGTTCGATCTGGAGAAAATCACAAGCTTTCCATGGTTTAAAACTGAACCCAGCTGTCCTATATCATTAGGCTTATATTAAACAGCTCTGGCTATCACAATTGATCTTATTCAGTATCAAAACTGTATGATCAACTTTGCTTTAAAATACGTGGCAATATCGGCGTCTTAGAAATATAATTTGATCTCGAAGTCTGTAAATGCTATTTAGGAAGTTTTCCAAGCCCATAGACGAGAATGGATTTTACCAATAGCTTCTCACACCCAACCTAAAGGACCAATGACACTTAGTGCCATCTCATGTCCAATGACGTCACAGGTCACATGACCAGTCACGTGACTAATATTATCGTTCCATCGGCGAGCGACGATCGCTCTCAGCAACAACAACACAAGGTAACGCCTCGCTCTTTCGCCGACACAAATAAACAACGGCTTAAAATAGATTTGCATTTGACACTCGATGGCCCAATATTTGCATAACATCCGAGTTTTCTTTCTCCGAAGTTTGTTGACTTTTGTTTTGCCGTTTTCAAAGGATTTATTCCAGTGTTCGTAATGGAAAAGGTGGATCGATCGATATTGTATTTAGGTTTAGCATTTGTGGGGACGTTTTTGTTACTGTCGTTGGGGTTCTAATCCTGTGAGTTGATTGTATTTGATTTCTAAATGTAAATGAGAAATCTCAGAAGCAAGTATTATGAGCCACCGAAAGTGGCCTGGGAATTTAGAATCACTGTTGAGATACTGTAGGCCTAGTAGTATTTTAGTGCTGAGTTTGAAAAATCGTCAAACAAATTAAACATGTTACAGCAGTTCTCGTGATATATTATTGTAAAACTGTAGGCCTATCTTATCTTGCAAAAATTCACTGAGCTAAATTAAAAATTATCCGGGAAATTTTTCAGATCTATTGAGAAAGAAAATTAAACAAAATATTTTCCTTATATAAAAACTAATTACATCTCCATCATAATGATTAGCAAAATATATTCTGCGTGGCTGACATTTGATACGAAAATCTAAAATTTTCCACTAATCATGGCTTACCACGTTAAAATTCGATAAACACAACTACAATACTAATTATGTCCATTTACAAGTCTATTCACTCAACAATTCCAGATAATTCCGTAAATACACTAAACCCTCTGGCGGTCTCATAAACAAATCTTAGCGGATTATCAACAATGATCTAAACAATTGCCACTGTCAACTTAATATCCAGCTGATCGAATAAATCAAATGGGTAAAGCCACAAACAACATTAGCGCCACATGTTTGATCGGTTCCACGGATATGGATGAATAGACACAATTCTGAGTATAAATCACCTATTATGGTCTCCGCGCCCATTACGGATTATGGTCCCTATCATCTTTGCCGCGGTGTGGTCGCGCTATGTAAATACAGTATAATGCTGCAAAGGTCCCGTGTAAATAGACAATCGGTCTTCTACTCCATCATGGGTGACGTTCTGCGTGGCTTCTTTGTATTCTACCCCAAAGTTTCCCTAATAGTTATACAAATACCAGCGTGTAACACATTTTGCAGGAGATAAAACAGACTAGAAACGCTTTGAAACCTCTCATTGGAGATAATCTATGTTATAGTACGTAGACTTATCCCAAAAACGTTTATTTTTTTAATTCTGTACCCAAAAATAGTTCAGACCTGAAATATGCTTGTTTAGATGAGTTTTATTAATGTTTACACAAAAAACCCAACACTTTTAACTTATGTTTGGTTAATAAATTTTCATTGTCGGAAGGATTAATAATTGTCATAAGCGCACTTTATTGAGGCTCAATTCGACGTTTATTTACATTTCAAAACAAGCATCAACTCGGAATTGAGGTGTCTACTTTTATCAATAGACAAAAGAACTAAGCTCTAGAAGTTTTTTATTGGATGATTTTTATAGTTCAATGGTCCTTGATCGTTGGAAATCTAGAAAATGCCAAAATAATAAGCTGATAATAGTTTGTAACAAAGCTACACAATCCATCTTACTTTATTCTTAATTCCTTCACGGCTCCTAACTTCCTTCAAATGAGTCCAGTTTCATCGTCATCTCGATTGGTCACATAATATCTGTATGTTTTATTATTTTCCTCTGTTTGCTAACAGTATCTGTTTTCACAGACTCCAAGGACTCCGGAACAGGCGAGAGTGAGGACGGTGACAGAGACCGCAGCCACCAACTCCTGGACAGACCTCCCAGTAGCGAGTACAGCGGCTCTAGGCCAGGCTCTCCAGAATGTCTCCAGCACTTCCTGCACCCAGCGTACCACCCGTCACCCCTCCCTACAGCGCCAGGGTCCTCCCAGCCCGCCAAGTCCAAGATCTGGAGTCTAGCGGACATGGCCAGCAAAGAGCCGGACCGGGGGAGGTTGGTGTCGCCGCTGGCTAGAGGCGTCCACCCCCTTCATCACCCGAGTTACCCGCACGACTTCTACCGGAGTTTCTACCCTCACCTGCCGGCGCCGTCGGACCCCGCGCTACTGGAGAGCTACTCCCGCCAGTTCGCCGCAGGGTCCACGGGCAACTTGTCGTCTGTGGCCGCCGTGGTCGCCGCCGCTGCCGCCGCCTCCTCGGGGGCCGGTAACGCCACGACGCCCTTCGGCCTCGCCGTCACGACGGGGGCGTCTTCAGCGTCGTCGTCAGGGTCTTCGGTGTCGGACAACAAGACCGAGAGAGCTTGACCCCGCACCAACTCACCTCTCAGATGAAGTAAAGACGCTGTGGTCGCGGTGTGAACTATCGGATACTTATATCGAACTGTGGTGTCAAACAGTGTATTCGTATTCACCGATATACAATCGACGTGTAACGATGCGATAAGTAAATCTAGTACGAGTCGTACGTGATGGACAATAACTTATTTATAAATATCGATGTGATTTATTTGTTATTTAAACTCTTCTTTGTGATACCGTTTTAAATGCTAGTAAAACGATGTAAGCCGTGTAACCATATGTACAGAGTTGCAATATATTGATGTAAATGTGATATATATTCGGTTTAGTGAATTTCATTGTTGAGGTTTTGTCTACATGGATTTTGCGGTTTTTAGAGCGATTCATTTGTTTTCTCCATTCATGTGTACTTCGCATTACTTTGTCTCGTGTTATCACAACCTACCTCAACGATATTCTGCAATATACGTAAATGTGAGCTATCAACTTACAGTATTTGGGACAAATCTATTTTCACTTCTGAATCTTTCTTTTAAAATACTTTATTTCTTAGGAGAACGTTTATACTCTCCTTCCTTAACAGTTGGCTCTGTTGAGTTGTTTAGCTTTAAACCTCTTACATAAGTCGCCCAACACATTGTATTCTATGGCAATGCCTGATTCTATGTATTGTTATTGTTGATTAAGGCAAGTTTTGCTTGTACAGATGGGCGTGTTGAGTTGTCCAGTTCACTTTAATTGAAACTAGTCAGTTGGGCGGAATATTTATTTTCTATTTATAATGGAACTACAAGGAAAATTGTTACTTTACGCTTTTAAAATCTATCCAAAATGACCGCAAATATGTTTCTTTTATTTGACACTTTCAATTCTCGTGGGCATTTTACATTTAACGAAATTTAAATATTTACAGTTTTACATGTTAATATTCCATGTTGTTGTTTTTCCGTGCTTCAAATTTTTACCAAACAAGAAATCTATGTAGTTTCGAGTTACTAAATATTTATGTGATTCATTTATAGAGTTTTAACATTAATTGGAACTGTCGAATAAAAGATTTTGCGGCGCTTAGGCAGAGCACTGATGTAGATATACCTACAATACACTCCATGTATATTTATGTATAATGTAGATCTATAGAGCCTTTACGATTAAATAAAGTATTTGTTATAAAAACTTACAAGAATCTCATACTTTCCTTCCCCTCTCCTTGGAATTATGGTTTTACCTGAGGAAAAAAATTACATTTTTATAATTATTGATTGGTATTAACAAGTAGAATTATTTTAAACAAACTAATATTTTATTACATGCACATCAGTATTCAAATTATAACATTTTGATCATTCTAAAATGAGTAAACAGATGTCAAACGAATGTACTTACAAAATTACAACAGACGGTTGTATTATTGTAATTATTTTGTAATATCAATTTCTTATTCCTAAAATACGTGCGTAAAATAATTTAATTGGCTGTATATTTACCGAGAAGAAAGTACAGTAATTCATTTCGATATTAAAGCTGAAGCAGATTTTAGAATGTAATAGTATATTTCATCACTAGGGGGCTAAAGTGACTCTTTTTGACCCGAGCTCAAGTTTTACGATCGAGGCGAAGCCGAGGTCGGAAGTTGGGCGAGGGTTGAAAAGGCACTTTTTACCCATGTGATTAACCGTCAAAACTTTATGGGAAAAATGTTACAATTCGTGCGTATTGGTGCAGGTATGTTTCAGTATCCAAAGCTGATAATAATATACATGTAGAAAACTGCACGATATAAACATTTGCTAATTGAAAGGGTCATGAACAAGTAAGTCTAGTGAGACCTTTAAATAAAGAAGTTAATGTTGCTTCGTATTTGTTAGGGAAAACATCTAAAGGTTTTTCTTTCAAAACTTAAAAAGTAGACAGTCACGTATTGTAAAAAAATTGATATTTTTTTGCTTGTGAAATATGATGACAATTTAAGACTATATTTTACCGGAAAGACTATACACTCAGGGATATTCTAAGCTTTCCAAAACGTTAACCTTATAATTAACCATTAATCACAGCAAAACTGTTTTACAGCCTTCTAAAACAATTTCGAACATTTTTAAAAATACGTCTCATTTCCAAGCACTGCACTTAGAATTCGCAGCCGTGTCCCATGAGTTATTGCAACGCTGGCACGGAAACTCCTCATAAAATGACATATCAGTGTAATAAGTCAAAACCAGTTAGTCCAAAGGGGGAAACCAGTCCATAAGTCTGCGCATGCTTGCCATATTGAAGCTGACAATAATGGGCAGTGGTCGGTGGTCCACTGTGAACACGACCACCAGGGCTGGGGATTTGTCAAGCATTGTCTTCCAGTTTGCGACAAACTGCAGAGAATAAGAAACAGAGTGTCTCCAAGGTGATCTAAGCATTTCTTTATAAACACGAGAGAGTTAAGGAAAAGAAAACTACAAATCGCACAGAGTTATTATAATGGCCTTCCCTAGGACGCTAGTCTGTAGACCAAACTGTCTTAAACATTAATCGTTCATTATGTAAACTTTAAGTTAATGTCGAAAGGAGTTTATCAAGATAAAATAGGATTTTAATCGTAAGTACATAAGACATGTTTATTTCCAGTAGACATATTACAAATGTATTGGAAGAGTCTAACATTTTTCATGCAGAGCAGTTGTCAAATTGAGAAGTGTGTCACAGAGTGTACTTTGAAGTCTACGAAGAAAAGAATTGCATTTTAAGTTATATAAATAGGTCTAAAACTAATATCACAGAGTTAATCACTATCGAGAAGTAAAAACAACAATTTAAAAGTTAGCAAAACATTACAAAATTAGACAGGTTGTACTACAAGGCATACAAAGATTATTTATTCCATTCAATAATCTTACATTCTAACATTGAAATTCACTAAAGGAAGATCTGGTTTACAATAATGTTGTTTATTCAAACATTGGAGTTCCGTTGAGGAGGTTCCAGCATGCAACAATATAATAATATGTTGTAACAGTGGAGTTATAAGTAGAAGGGTCTGGCATACAGTAATGTAATAGGTTCTAACAGTGGATTTAATTAAAGTATGTTCTTGCATATGCATACGGTACGTGTCTGATGAGTTCTACCAGGAGAGATATTTTAAGGAGGCTCAAACGTACAATAATCTAATAGGTTTTCATAACAGAGAAGTTCCATTTACAGGGGTTCCAGTAACGCACAATAACCTCACAGGTTCTATCGATAAACAAAGTTTATGTACTGTAAATAGCAGTTAGTTTCTGTCTTTAAATAATAACGTGGGTTTTGACAGTGGAGTTCTATAAGAAGGTCCTAGCTTACAATAATTGTAATAGTTTCTGATAGTGGAGTTCATTTAAGGAGGAGTTAATTTTCTTTACTAAGTAGATAAGAAGCCTATATTAATTATCTTCACGTAACTAACCATTTTCCTTAAAATAAATAGTTTGAAGAAATAAAATATAATTATAATTTACCTTAGGGCAAACAAATGATAATCAATTTAAAGTTATTAAAATTGCTTGTAGTTTTGGTATGAAGATTTTGTATAACACATTTCGCTTAGTGAGAAAAGAAATAAATCATTAAACTTGTTAAAAATGGGTGGGGTACAACAAACGATTTCAAGTTTATCACATTACATGCAAATTTTCTGGAAAGTTTCTTCATTAAAAGTGCTTTAGTCATCTTCCATTAAGTTCTACGTCTTTCTGGTGTTTTTATTAAACCTGTTTAAAGGGGTGAAACTTTTAGCAGCAAAGTAGTATGTTGCAGTCAATACCAAACTCTCAAATAGGAACTTTGCTAACGGCAACGAGATTATATTAAATTTGTTATTTGGCTTAGCATTCAATTACAGTAACAAAAGCTGAAATAGTTTTCAGAATAAAGAGATTATTTTAAAAATACGAATAGAATCCGCAAAGGTTGTTGACACATCTAAGCTTGATGTTCGGGATAAAACAATATAGGCTACAATAGGTTAAGGTGAATATGCAAAACAAATTTTACGATTTCGCGTATTTAAAATAGATAGGTTATAAAAGAGTGATGATATCCGTAAATAAAACTACACTATTTGCCAATGTATTGTAGCTCCATAATTACCGTCAAACCAATCAAATGTGTTGATTATCAAAGGTATACAAAACATAGAAAAATATCGACCTTTTACAGATACCAATAATAAAATGTCTTACCCAACAAAATATGACCAAGATGTAGTTCTTCAGGAGCTCTTATGTTTAATTAATATACAGAACTGCTCTTATGGTAGACATATACTAAAAGCTATTTTGAAATATATTTCTATAAATTTATTAAAGTCATCACAATTTTTTATACATCCATATATATATCCCAAAGTACCCATGAATTTGCGAGAAAACTACAAGTCACACCCCCATAAACCATATAATTGTGTTCGACATGACGAGAACCTTGCGCAAAACTATCCATTATATCATATATTGCCCTTTAAGGTCGTAATTCCTTAATAAAGGGAACTTCCCTTATACCTAATGTTAAAAATACCTCAGCTGTACTTATTTGTATGTTATTCTTTCAATTTATTACCTTATTAAAATCAGGTGTGTTGTTTGTTTGTGTTTGTGTATTTGTTTGTATTACTGTATTCTGTTTTGTTTATTTAAGCTTAACTTAAACGGGGATGAATCCCGTGGGTAACAGCTACCTAGTAGTAAATAATGTTATTTTTTAAGATTGTTTGATCTTGTAATAAGAATAATGATGATTGGTTTGAACAATTGTTCTTGATATGTATAACAATGACTACTGAGAAATACAAAAGTAGGCGGTGTTCCCTCCTGGAGCAGACCTAATAAAACAATTAAAATCTAAAAACGCAGGAATAGTCGTTGGTCGAGTATATAAGCGACGATATTCGGAACTATTGTGCTTTATTACCAGAAGACTGCTGTTGTTACTTATACCATTACAATTTACAATATACCATAAAATGGCATGATAAACAGCTTGAATTTAGCTTTGCTATACCATGCAGATCCCAAGTACATTTTTAGAAAATACGGGTTATAATAAACTAACAGTTTTTATTAACGTTTGACAATCCTGCAAATTACAACACTTACGAAGTAAATAATGTATTACCACTATGTTATAGACAAACTTATGGAGGCTATGATTACCATATTGTAACACATCAAAAATATACCATGTCGAATATACCGTGTAGAATACACCATGTCCAACACTCGTTTCTTTCTGCGTTTCGAGGACATCCAAACCATATGCATCTGTCTTCAAAATGTTAAGATGCAGCCTACGACCTGACTAAAAGTTGCCAGAGGGATTTTTAAAAGGATATTAGTACTAAAAAAATATATTAGTATTACGGTGTTAGATAACCTTATTTGTACACAAAACGGTTTTGGAATGGCCACAATGACAAACACACTTATTTAACTCATTCTGTGGTTTGACATTCAATCCAAGTGCATCTGATTCCGAAACGTGCAACCTTATCTTACAGCTTACTACTAATTCCTCAGTAAGTAACTGGGGTATTATAAATTGAATTATTATAAAATTATACAAATATTTAGGTGGTTTTGGTGGTAAATAAGTACACACATTATGGCATTATATTTAACATCTCCAACTATTTTTGCGGTTCGACGACATCCAAGCCAGCTGCGTCTGGTTTCAAAATATCAACATGCAACTTTACACTTGGCTAAAAACTCACCGAGACGATTTACGGGGAAATAAAAAGAGTGAAAACGTGATGCGCTGTGAACAAATTACCCTGAAGTGGGACTGAGGTTGGTCACGCAAATCCTCCGAGGCAACTCCGGTAGCTCCTATGCAAATACGACCCGACGTGTTGGAAAAAGTCACAGCAATATATAACGTGGTCACCACCAGATAGCAATCGCGTCGCTGTAATTGTTCAACGATTGCGTTACTCACGGCCTCACCAGCTGAGTGGCACGACGATTTGAAAAAAAGTTGAATTCTTGTAAAGACTTTTTATTGACAAAGTTAATTTCTGAGAACGATGTGAAAATTAAAGACGAAACTGAAAGGCTGATATGGTTTTATAAGGATAGTTGATTTTTTTCAAAGCAGTTAAATTGGAAT